GACGTTGATTGCGTTATTGCGTTAATTTAGATTAGATTCTAGAAAATTCTCTTTATTGATTGGGTACTACTCCCCCAACCAACATATAATCAGAGAACTATATGTTCTCTGATATAATATCATTGAGTTCATTCGTTCAGTGTGAAGAGCAATTATATTATAACAATTTTATTAACACAAATAAGTGATCTATCATTGGATATATGACGTCACATTTTTATTTTTAGATGCGTGTACACTTCATCTAATTTATATAACGATGCACGTCATAGGCGTCATAGCTTATGACGTCACATGATACCAACACGAAAAATTTATGCGGTAGGTGTGTTCTTTTTTAGAATCACTTTAACGAGTACACTGGCATTACAGCCACTAGACATATTTTATTATATACGCGTAGAAATAATATTTAAAAATTTCTATTAGTGTTAACTTAAAGAAATACACAATAATATGTTTCATTTAATTTGTATAAATGCATTATAAAGCGTTTTTATCAAGAACATTTGTTCGGAACACACTGTAACTGTAATCGAACGAAGGTAAAATTTTGGCATAAATTGGTAACACTTAGTTGACAGTTGCGGTGTTGACACTTTTTGTATTTTATTATTTTGAATTTTAAAATGAATATCTCTTGTTTTATAGTTTTTCCTATTTAATAAAATTTGTTCTTTTAGAACAAAATTAGTGTGTTTTATTTCAAAAATGTCACGTAAGAATTTAAATAGTCATTGTAAAGCGATGGTAATACTTTTGCAATAATTATGTGATCTATTTGATTTAAAATGGAGTAAGGATTTTTTTATACTTTGGCAACTATGTCAACTTCGATCTCTGACGTTGATCATGACGTAAGTCGTTATCTAAATTAGATGAAGTATATGTGTATTATACCAAAGAATATACCGGGTGGTGAATCGTCAAACGGGCCGTAGGAAACTCGATGAGAAATTTTAAATTGTTGAATTGCTACTTCCCTAATTATTTTAGATCAAAAGTCATAAAAACTATTTGTAGAGGACTAAAATCTGAATTAAAAACAAATGTTAAAACCGTTCTACGAATCAAATGCACTTCAAAATTTTGCAAAAATATAATATATTTTTCAGGTCACCCCTAAAAGTTAGGCTACACGTAATGCAAGAATATAATTTAGGACGTGTTTGTTTTATCATATTTATGTCAGATGTTTGACAATTTGAATTGTCATTTTTTTTATTTTATGATTAAATTATAAACAATGAATTTTACTAAATACTACTACTAATGAACATTATTACTTTGTGAACAATAAATTATATTGTTTACAAATCAATATAATGAAATGTACTCAGTTGACGAAAAATCGCATATTGTTGTATTCAGGCAATAGGGCGAACCTTTTCCTGCCACTACCGGATATTTGTTTAACGTAAGATATTCTAATTCACTAAAATTTAATTCCATGTTAAGTTAAGTTATACAACAATTCAATGAATTCCAATATACTGTTACTGTGATCTTTATTCCTAATAATAATATATGATAATTTCTAAACCTAAAACTATAACAAATGTTATAATAAAACATGAATAAAACATTTTTATTATTGCTTTTTTCTCCTCAACTGAGTACATTTTTTAATCAACTTAAATTCAACTTAATTTTTTTTAACAATAAATCACAAAATTTTGGCCATTTAAATCATGGATAAAAAATGTAATAAATATAATTGATTTAAATATTATCAAATATCAGAAACAATAATATGACAAAACGCAACACGTAATACACATTTTTTCACAGAAAAATGTATTATATTTTAGCAAAATTTTGGAATACGTTTAAGTCGTAGAATAATTTTAACAGTTGTGTTCGATACATATTTGAGTCCTCTACAAATAGTTTCCCATGACTTTTGGTGTAAAATAATTTATAGTGTAGCATAAGTGCAGCAAAACGTTTACTCTTGATCTCAATCCTATCTCCCACACAGGAGAAGCCATACCGTAAAGGGACAAAGAGCCTAAATCGAGAATTCAAAAGTTAGTCAGCAGCAACCAGTAATTGTAAGATATTGGAGGTGCAGATAAGTTAAATAGCCTACTGGTAGACAACCTTACATAATCTACGTTTACTCACGGTAGGATTATGATGTCGTTTTAAAACGAGATCCGTTAAAATTGAAAAATACTGTAACAGAGCAATTTATAGCCCCGACCTCGTTTAGGTTCTCGCCTATTCAAGGAATAGCTTTTTGCGAGATTCTGGATTGGGGGTAGGTATATAACGAGTAAACGTATTGGGCCGTGGTACGTCCCGTCCATCCTGATACAAGCTTGCATCGACGAACTTCCGGAAAAATACGCTGACATCCTTGAGGCCACTCCACTAGTCTACAGAACTCACCTTTAATTTCCAATCCCTTTTTGTTACCCCGGACAGGGGGAAATTGGTTATTTTGCGGTTTCCCAATTTCACTACTTAACTATACTGTTCGTCCCTGAGAACATAGCCGCAACTATTTTCTCACCTAAATTGGCAGTTGCTGGAACGGTCTATCGAACTCCGACGAGACCTGGCTGTTAGCGGAAACGATCAATAATAAAATTTTAGTGCAATACACTAGTTTTAGAGTTGATCGCAAATGCATAAACGGCTGCAGGAACAATGGTCACTAAAGAACACGGTTACGGAACAATCAGACTCGCACACACTCACACTAAACACAAATTTACATATCTCACACTCATACTAATCCAACAGTAAAAGAGGTCGTCTTTCTGCTACCGAAGCATCCTCACCACGGGGACACCCGACCGAATGTAGTCCCGTTACTTTACAGCGCCCGCCACTGTTGGATTAAAACACACACACACACACACACACACACACACACACACACACACACACACACACACACACACACACACACACACACACACACATATTCACACTGAGCAAAATGTGGCAAGTCGACTGTCGAAAGCCGACTCGCCTCCATTCACGAGCAACTGGGCCACAGAATTACAGAGCAATACACTGGTTTTGGGGCCGAATTAAGCACGAGAATGCACAGGAACAATGGTCACTAGAGACCCGGCTCTGTTGCATCTAGCTCAAAAACACACACATTCACTCTGAAAAGAAAACCAAATTCCAGTCAAGTCTTTCACCCTTAATTCAATAGCGACTCCATCTCGACAGCCTCCAAATTTTCGACAAAAGAAGATGAACGCTAACACCCCAGTGGATTCTAGGACTGTTTGCTTTTGTAACACAACACATTCAAATCCAAGCCTGAAGATGATCAAATGATCCTAAACGGGTACAGAAAATGTTCAATCCACACGTAATAAAAAAATCCTTATCCCTATCCCTCGAGAAGAACATTGACTGACCTGGGCTGTGGTGTACTTGTTGGTAGTTGACCTGCATTTCATTGTTCAGAGGAAGATGTCGAATTCCGTTAGGTATTACTAAGCGCTATAAGTTCTTCGGAACTATTCCATGATCAGCGTGTGTGGCTAATTTCGGCTATTGACTGCGATATTCTATTATAGGGGATTGATTTAGGAGTGTCAAAATACTCATCAGGACTTTAGTTCCCCACTAAATTTAGAATTTTAGCTGGCAGGAATGGATGCTGATAGTTATAGCCAACCTTGAGTAATGGAGAAGGCACCTTAAGAAGAAGAAATGGAACTTTTTGAGAATTCTTTTGTGTACTGGCTCTGGGTAATGGCATTGGGTTTTAAGTATCTCCTATGCTACGATGTTCGAACTTTCGACGGTTCTCAAAACACGTATTTTTAGCTCACGATTTCTATCCGATTTTGGATTGTAGGGATGTTGGTTACTTGGTGGATTAACGCGGACAGTCCGAACATGTATACCATGAATCACAAAAGTTTTATTTAAAAACCCTTTATAAAAGGTATATAATTAAAAATAGCCTTTCGGGCTACATCACAAAACGTTTTTTTGTGATGTAAAACAAGTCCATCAACAATGTAATATTACCAGGTATACATGAGTCCAGCCACTAAATATCTTGGTAAAAACACTTAAAAAGTCACAAATTTTAATTTGTGTTAAATTATTGTTAAAAACATGTTATAATGTTTTTACAGTATTTACCTAACAGATATCCTGCATGGTAACGTACCACTCCCAAGAGGGGTTGCTGCTGACTCTCAGACCAGACTATTCCGACACTGTTATTCACAAATTTTAAGGAAAAAATGGTGGAGGTAGCATAAAAAAATTTCGGTGCCCAACCAAACCCCCCCAGAGGAAAATTCTAGGTGCGCTACTGTCTCAGACCTTGTCTCATCGAGCAAAAAGATAAAAGAGGGAATCTAATCGTTATGAAAAGGAGACCAAAAAAGTGGCCTCTGATGGCGGACATATCCGGAAATGCAAAGGCGCTAAATTTAAATTTTCCGACACTTATTAACAATAGCTATAAAATATTCTTCAGACGAGAAAGTTTTAATTAAATATTAACTATAATAGTCTAAAAAGTGACACAATAGGTAAAAGATTTCAATATAAATAAAATTTCATGTGACAGTTGGGACAAACAATAACATAACCAAACTAAATTTGACTTCTTAAACAAGGAAAGAGACTGTCTATCCTTGTCTAAAGTGGCCTCTCAAGATGGCACTTCCTGTCTATCAATATGTTTACCCCCACTACCTTTACATTCCCTCTTTTGTCTTATTGCTCGATGCCTTGTCTAAAGACTCTACTCTACTATTGCAACTCTAGAATATTGTGCTGCCTATTTTCAAGGGGTAGGAAAATATTCCAGTCAAAAACTTACATTGATAATTTTGACTAGCAGTGAAAGGATACTATCTGGAAATTGTAAAAATACCGTTTATACTATGATTCTTTTTTCAAAACACTCCAAGTGGAATGGCTAGTGAACTAGAAGGTTGTAGTTGAGAATTTCCATAACCGTCTTGAATGTCATTTGTCAAGCAACAGTCAAATGTCAGATTTGAAGTTTATTAATAACTGTTCAGTAATCTTTACCGAAAGTTTACTGGTTTCTCTAATCTTTATAAATAGTATTGTTTTTACGATTATTCTATCCTAGTAATACAAAAATGTCGAGTACTACCCAAAAACATCGTAACTTTGTTGTGGAACCTATGGGTGAAAAACCTGTAACTGAATTAGCAGGGATTGGAAAAGTACTTGGAGAACGCTTGGTAGCTGCCGGATTTGACAAAGTATGATGATTTATGTCGTATATTCTATTATTTTGATGCAATAATTTACTCATAAAAGGAAATTATGTGTGGTGAATGATTTGTGTTAAAATTGTTGTATAAAATAATTATATTTTGAACACTCCCTATTATTTTTGACACAGGTCGCTTCATTAGGTTTCTTCAGTGCATGTATCTAACCAATGATGCCTAGCAATCCTGAATCCTGTTAACCTTTCCACTGTTCGCTTTTACTTGTTTGCTGCTCTCAATATAACTTCTGCTGTTTTTTTTATCACTATGTTGTGTCCATTCTATTTCACTGCTTTTTGTTCTCTGGTACATATTACATCTCATTGTTACATGATTTTGCATAACCTTTGTGGACTCCTAGATTTTCCTATGTTATATCCAGAAACTTCTTTTTTGGTTAAATGCAATAACTATGTTGTGATTACTTTGCTCTAAACAATTTTATTCAGTGTAATATTACTTTGGTTTCTTTATTATTTGTTTAAATCTTCTTGATTATTAACAACTATTATTATTATTAGATATATAACTTTAACTTGCAGAAGCAAATAAAAATAACAAATGAAAATTAAGGAAGAAGATTCTGTAATCATTCTTAATTGGGGAAGGTGATAGCTATCTAAATACTGAAGAAAAACTGGAATATCAAAATAATGAATACTAAGTGCAATAATAAAATAATTCAATAAATCATTAATTGCGTAAATTTGTAAAAACTTACTGAAAAATAAAATAATGTTGAATGTGTTAAAGAGATAACAATAGGATACACAAATATACCTACATTTTAAGTGGAAGAAGAAGTGTAGATGTATAATTGCTTATTTTTAGATAGAAAAGATTACTTTAAAAAGTTATGGGAAAATGTATAACCAAAACATAACCTACTAACAACTTGGTTATACTTTTTTCTTAAATTTTTTAAAGAGACTAATCTTTTTTGAAAATTTCCAGTGGAAATCAAAATGTCAAACATTATTTAAAATGTAATTTTCATTTCAATAAATGGTGGCTTAACCTCATATTAACATAATGTTTGTTTTGTGTAGGTACTTATGTATTTATTTAAAAAATGCAAAAATAATATTTCACAGATTACTCTGATTTTTGAAGTTAGTTGAAGATACATTCAGTGGTGTAAGGTCTCGTAATTCTCTTTGTTGATTATTAAAGGTTCCCCTGCATTTTATATCAAGTTCTCACATTTCTTATCCTTTTTTTAGAACATGTTAAGCATGTTTTTTTTTTAATTCTGGCTGTTGCAGTGCCAATAATTTCATAGTTGATTATTGTCTTGCTAACTTCACTCTATTCTGTACATATATTTATGAGGTTTAATTCAACCCAACTTTACTTAGTAACAAGGCATTTACTCAACATATAAACTACAAAAAATGATTATCCTGCATTTCTTTTTGTTAATTTTGTGTAATGTGTAAACAACAAAAGATTAGAATCAATCCTATTATTACTTTCTTGAATACTAATTTTAGAACCTTATTTTCAGGCTTATGTTGTACTAGGACAGTTCCTAGTTCTGAAAAAGAATCAAGAACTTTTTAGGGAATGGATGAAAGACACTTGCTCAGCTAGTTCCAAACAATCATTGGATTGTTGGCAATGTCTCAATGATTGGTGTGAAGAATTTTTGTAATTGTATGTAGTAGACCTAAGTGGACTGTTTGTATTCCCAAGGTTTTTATTTATAGGGTTTTATTCTTGTAATATTAATATGTGTAAGTCCAAACTCTCTAAATACATATAAACTGTATATACTAAACAAAAGGCATTTAAATACATTGCATTATTTTTCTTAAATTTGGTTTTAATTTGAAAAAATATTCTAAGGGCTGGTTAACCTTAATTAAATAAGTTTCAGTACTTTAAAGTCAATTTTGTGTCCTATTAGTTAATCATAAATAAATTGTGGCTGTTAATTTAGCTCTTGCAACTTATGTCATATTTTAGGTGGTAAACTGATGTGTGTTATGTGACAAATTACTATATTTTTAGAAATGGCTCAAGTAAATGTGACTTTTCTTGTGTTTGTTTGAGTCATTTCATTATTTTGATTGTTTATTGTTGAAAATGAAACTACTTATTTGAACCAATATTGTTGTAAATTATTATAATTGAGTTTTGATATTGTATATTTATAATTTGGGATTCTTTGATGTTTATAGCTAAAAAAAAGTAAGATATAAATATTCATATGTACCTACAAGTCTCATGTTTCAGACTTTGTGTAAAAGTTTAGGATTTGTTAAGGTTCCTGTTTCAAATTAGAATATTTAATTCAACAGATGTTGAACATAAAGTATATAAACTGATTCACTGCAATAAAACGAATATATATATATATATATATATATATATATATATATATATAATATATATATATATATATATATATATAATCTTCTTTGTCAACTTCCTCTATATCAATATAAACAATATTCATTTGCCAGTATGCCAGTATTTCATGTGTTTTATAATTGTTCTACTAGTTGTTTTGTGTATACTACCAAAATCAGCCATAACTATATAAAAACAGCCTTTAGCATAAATTCGTAAAGTTATTAAAACTTGTGCTGTAATATCAAGCTCATGCTACCTAAAAATAAAAGATTTTTACTGTTAGATATACATATAAAAAAAATAATTAACATGTGTTTCAATGAAAGAAAGGTATAAGTATATACTTACTGAAGATTTATATGATATAAAAGATGACCCAGCTCTTGTATGAATTGTCTCACAGTATCTTTATGGAAATGAGACCTTAACAAAAATTTGTTATCATCAATTTCTTGCAAATAATTTTTTTGTTCTCATGTATAGGTTCAGATGTAATTTAGAAAAATATATTATTCTTTCATCATAATCAAAATGTTGTGGTGAGTTTATTCCAACATAGTAAATTTTCCCAAAATTGTAACTGGGTCTTCATGATCCCTCCCATATTGTGTAGTATGTTATTGTTTTTCTGAAGCAAGAGGTTGCAATTTTTTGTTTTCCCCACTGCAACAAAGCTCTCATTGTATATAGCTAGGCGGTTGATGAAAATTGCGGTTTTAAACATTTCTAATCTTGGCAGCATTACTACCTTCTTCAAATCTGCACAGTATGTTACACTAGTTGTGGCAGTGCTGTTGTAGTATTTTTCGGCACCTTCATGATATTTTGCACGTGATTTTGTGGCTCTTTCTATATGAAACTTCCATTCTGTGCATCCATCACATTCGTTATCAATGGTATCTTTTTTATGGCTTGGATTTTGCAAGTTGCAAGTTTCTCAAATTTCGCATTTTCATATCCTAATTTTACAATAGAAATATTAAGTTGCTTTGCCACCACCCTATATTTTTCATATGAACATGAAGTTTCTCGATTTTTTTAAATGTAATTCTATGCATCAAAGAAAAGCTAACATCGCTGGGGAAGTAAAGTCGATTGGGAGCATGTTCTCTCTTGTTAACGGCTTGTAGGACATAATCTGGTCACAAATTACTTCATCGTTTAGTTTGTTATGTAAAATATGCCTCTCTTGTTTCGTGGGGTGAGATATAATTTTGTTAAACTCCTAATGCATGTGGAATAGTATTATCACAACTTTTATTATATCCTAAGGTACCAAGAAAAAATACCTTACAAACTTTCTGCATAGTACCATTACTATCCTTAAGCATATATGTATGTGACTTATTCCCCTTAAATGGTTGAGCACTGGTTTCTGTTGTTCTTTGTTTCATAGAAGATGTTGAAATATGGTGCAGTATGAAAGCTTTTCTCTCTTTGGAAGATTTCAGTTTCCACAATTCTTCATTTAAAACTAACTGTCTATCTTCTGGAATTTTGCTAACACATTTTAGTCTGCACTTATTTTCTGAGCAACTACGTTTGACAGAATGATCTTCTACCATTCTATGAAATTTCAGTGTTTTCCTGTCACCAACAGATAACTAGATTTTTTTCTTTTTCTTACTGGATTTTTTTTAGTAATATCAACATTATTTATGACTTCATTTGTTAGCTATGTTAAAAAGCCGTGTTTCAACTGATTCACCTTTATATTTGCAGATCGCCTATTCAACCTTAAGCATAAAATACACATGTCTAGATTATTTTATATCATTTCCTAAGCCCAATTAGCTTATCTCTAAGATAGGTTGGTTTTGCTTAGGAAAAAAGAGTTAAGTGAAATTCTACAAGTGTTTTCAGCTATTTTTGAGATACGAGATATTTTATTATCTGTTTTGAAGCGGTTTTATGCAAGATACGCCTCTTTCGCATAGTAAATTTGATGCGCACAAAGACTCCACACATCCTTTGACGTAAAATTGGCAAAATATTGAGTAAAGTACGTCATTTTGGCTTAGGAGGGCAGTATTTTATCAATATAAAATGTAGATTTTGCCGAAAATAAATTAAAATAGTAATTCAAACACACACAGTACAAAATAAAAACATAATAGTTTATTTTGTAAAATTATAAATGTAAGGTTAGAATGCCTTGATTATCTTTAAATGGCTGTTAATCATACTACTTTTGGCTGGTTAAAGTTAATCGACTGTTAACTCTTGATTAAGTCTAATCAGGGATGAAAGTACCCATTAGCGCTGATTAAAGTTAACCGGCTAACAAAATTGAGTTCATCGGGGTTTAATCAGGACGGAAAGTGCCGGCCCTAAAAATTTGACAACATAATCACAATTTCATACACATAATATAAGAAACTTAATATGTTTTATGTTAGAAATTTTTCAGAAGCTCTTAAATACGCATGCCCGAAAAAAATGGACCCTAAAAACATGCACCATTTTAATTTCATTGGAAATTAGGCGACAGGGTAGGATCTGCACGTGCTAATGATATCGAGTATTTCCAATAAACATGACTATTATGTTTCTCTAATCTTAAACATTCCAGTCGCATTTTTATTTTATCTTACATAAAGATATAATAAAAGATGAAAGACGTAATAAAAATTTACGATTTCAATACCGATAAGAATTGCTGTGTAAAAATGTAAAATATTTACATTGCACTAATTTGGCTTATAAATAAACCTTTTAAGAACAAATAAATAAATAACAAATCAATGTATATTATAATAATAATAATAGTATTTTGGTTTTAAATTCAGCAAAATATGTTTATACGAGACGAAAACCTCGAATTCCTTGGTAAAATCACTTTCATAAAATACCGCAGAATAATGTTCAAGAGGTCGCCCATACAAAAAGTGGTCGTAATTTATTAAACAGTTTTGTATAAATCCATTTTTAGGTTGTGATAACGGCATCAAAGAACTAAAAACAATGTTTTAAAATCAAATAGGCCCAAACTAAAGTACCCGAAACTGATAGAACAAGGTTTGATGTATTTTGGAAAATAATTGTGTGTTTTGAGCCTTAAAAATCATTTTTCGTTATTTTTTTTTTAGTTTTAAATTGTTTATAAGTTGAAAACGATCAACTTAGAGAAAAATACAATAAACCTTTTTTATTGAGAATGATCCAAAAAACCGAAAAACAAAATTGTCCGGGCAGATGAAATTGATTAATACAACTTGTTTAAAAACAATTATTGTTTAAATAAATTAGAACCACTTCTGCTGGTATTATGTTTTAAGACGAAATAAGATAAATACAAAGTTGTCAATTAATTGAATTATGAACGATTGGTCACAAGAAAAAATAAAAATATTAAAGCTATTTCACTAACGCAAAAACTAGTTCGTCTCTGTCTCACTACGATAACGCACTGAAGAGAACTGCATGTTTGAAGCAATGCCTGATATCATTGTTTCGTTCGTAGATCGAAGTACTAAATGATTACGTCAGGACCACGACATTATGAATTATCTTTACTAAAATGCACCTCTGGTATATTGATTTTACCATTACCAATAGAACTACTTTGTTGGAGATGACCTAGGGGAAATCAATACCATGTTAGAAGAACTGGAAAGAGCATGCAGAGAAATCAATTTAAAAATAAACATCTCCAAAATAAATTACCTGATGAACCTCATACGCAGTAATCTTTGAAGTATTCAGAAAGACGAGAACTTGTTGATAAATAAATATATCTTGGACACATTAGAATAGGCAAGGACAACCACACAGGTGAGGTATCGAGAAGAGTGGCACATGGATGGGCAGCCTGTGGAGCTCTTAAAACCGTATTTAAAGACAGCAACATACTGATTAATATGAAGCAGAAAGCTTTTCCCTAACAAAAACAATGCTTCAAAACTGTGAGTAGCATAAAGAAGAATGGGGTATTCAATAATAGGTGTAATAATAAAAGACAAGATTAGTATAAAAACCTACAAAACAGAGCCAAAGTTTCAGATGTGGAGAGATCTTGCAGATTGAAATGGAGATCGGCTAGCGACTTGGCAAGGATGGAAGGTGGACACACAAGTTAACTGAATGGAAATCTAGAACAATTAAGCGAAACAGGAAAAGACCACCTTACATGATGGCGAGATGATCTACGAAAGATGATAAAAAATTGGTGGATCCATCCTGCACTGGACTTAAAACGGGCTGATGCAGATGAAGAATACAACTAAACACATGAGATGACACCAATATTAAGTACACTACTTTTAAACCATTACCATCACAATTCTTAAGGGACAAATCATATATTCAATATTTTATTTTTGGATCATTCAAATAAAATATTACCCCATCTTAATCTCAAGTCATATCCCCGAAAATGCGGAAGTCATAAATAAATGGAAAATTGCCCATGCAAATTGGAGATTATTCAGTGATACTCTTGAAGACCTTTCAACTCAAATAATTTTCAAGGAAAACATCGACGCTACCGTAGAGCAATTAACAAATGGCATTCTAACTGCGGCCGACCAATGTATAGGTAAATGCACCATAAACTCATCAAGAAAGGCCGTCCCATGGTGGAACGACTCCTGTAAACTTGCAATAAAAGAATATAAAAGGCTCTTAATATATATCGCAAAACTCGTAGTATCGAAGATCTTATTCATTTTAAGAAAATGCGTGCAAAGTAAAAACGAATTCTGATGGAAAGCAAAAAAGAATCCTGGAAAAAATTCGTTAACAGCTTAACCCTTCCGCACAAAAATTAAACAAATTAGAGGTTTAAAGACATATCGCAAAATATCCGCAATAACAGATGGAGATAATATCATTACAAATGATAACCAAATAACCGAAACGCTAACCAAATACTTTCAAAACAAAACTAAGTCTGAACTCTCCATTTCGCACCCCACAAATCAATCACCACCTAACCCTATCCAAACCAATCCAATAAACCTCGCCTTCACAGAAGTAGAGCTAAATTTGGCAATCATCAATGAAAAACTTATCTGCGGTCCTGATGACATCCCGTCTATCTTTCTCAAACGTCTACAGGCAGGAACCCTCTTGAAGCTACTTGCACTCTACAATAAAATATGGTTCAGCCAAAGCTTTCCGAGTTTTTGGCGACAGTCGCTTATCATACCGATCAGGAAAAATGACTCATTTTCTAACACTGCCAATGCCTACAAGCCAATCTCACTAACATGTACAATGTGCAAACTACTCGAAAATATGATAAATAAATGTTTGCTTTAGTTTCTTGAAGAAAATAATCTGATAGATGCAGCACAGTCAGGATTCAGACCCAATCGAAGTACAATGGATAACCTGGTACTTCTCCAAACAGAAAGAGATCATTTAAAGTAGTCGCAAACGGGAAAACATCTACATCACATATCTCACAAAATGGAGTCCCCCAAGGCTCAGTTCTCAGCCCCACACTATTCCTTCTTAGCATTAACGATATAAACTCTCTTGTTCTTCCTCCAATAAAATACTCAATATACGCAGATGATATTGTTCTTTATTGCCAAGGTAAAGTTACAAGGAGGACAAGCTTTTTACTCCAAAACACTCTTAACAATCTTCATAACTGGTCCATTCAAATTGGAGTATAATTTTCATCTAGAAAATCTAAAGTCATAAACTTCTCTAGAAGACATCACACTGACCCTCCTCTACTTCACCTAAATGGATCTCCCCTTCAAGTGGTTGATAAACACAAATTATTAGGAGTAATATTCGACAAAAGACTTACATGTAGAGATCAGATACAGAATATAAAAACAAACTGCCTAAATAGAATCCATATCTTAAAAACTCTATCTCACCATCAATGGGGACAGAAGAGAAAGTCGTTTGAAGAATTTACAGAACATTGATCCGCTCTAGGTTGGATTATGGAAGCATTCTCTACATATGTGCTTCCAATACTCACCTTAAATGTCTGAATACAATTCACAACACTTCTTTATGTATAAGCCTAGGCGCCTTTAAATCAAGTCCTATCGAATCTTCAGAACCTCCACTTTTTATAAGACGGCAACGTCTACTTCTGTCTTACTTCTCTAGAATTTCTGCTAATCCAAAAAAAAACAGTAATTAAACTAATTAATACTCCCCACCCTGTCCCAGATAATAGTCACCCTCGAGCACATTCTCTCTCACACATTTTAAAAACTTTACTAAAAGACATAGACCTAAAACTCACAACTCCGTTTACTACGTCCAGAATTCCCCCGTGGACCAAAAAGCTACCTACTGTGCTTACCAGCTTGAACCGATACAAAAAAGAAGAAACGCTCAGAACTCTCTTGGTACAAGCATTTGAGGAACTTATACAGACACAGCATATTGACAAAATTCTCTCCACAGATGCCTCCAAAGAATAACAGGCCGTCGGTTGTGCCGTCAGTACCTCAAACACAACAATAGCGTCACATCGGCTTTCTCCCAGCTGCAGAATACACACAGCCGAACTGTATGGAATACTTAAGGCATTAGACTCGCCCATTGCTAATGAGAAATCATTAACAATATGCACCGACTCTCTCCGCCATTGACTCAATCAGAAGTATATACTTCATACATCCCATTGTACAGTGCATCCACAGTATCTGCCAACAACAGTCAAAAAATGGTGTTTCAGTAACTATCATCTGGATACCATCCCATGTTGATATCGTTGGAAATGAGAACGCTGATCATGTAGCAAAATTGGCCTGCTCCTTAGAAAATATGGAAAACATACAACTTCACCAAGACCTAAAGGCCAGTATCAAGAACAACGTACTAAGCACTTGGCAAACACATTGGAACATGCAAAATACAAAACTACAGTCCGTCCCAAACCCTTCTTTCAGTGCGTCATGGTTGATCGAATTCTCTCTAACGCATTAAGCTAGAAGTGACAGAAAAAAACGTGAGTCTGTGATTATTATACGTAGAACTTAGAAAATTATGTATCGTTCACGGTTATTTGCATATTAAAGCGAATTCTACTTACGGATGTATAATTGGTTGAGTAAAATGTAAATTAGTGACGCACTGAAAGAAGGGTTTGGGACGGACTGTACGCACAATTCAACCAACTGTTACCTTCATCACCATGCCTCAAATGAGCAGAAAAGACAATATCATTATCAGAAGGCTCAGAATAGGTCACACTCGTCTTACTCATGGATATCTGATGTCTTCTGAAAACCATCGTCACTGTGAACATTGTAATGAGTCCTTAACAGTCCAGCACATATTACTAGAATGTGTCCACTACAAACCTCAGAGAGACTACTACAACTTTCAAAATAATTTAAGTGATCTACAAACATGTACAGTGCCATAATTCGTTTTCAAAAGACTGTCACCTTTACTACTTAGTGTAATTATATTAGATGTTGTTAATGTATCCTAACTTGTATATAAACAGATTGTATATGTATGTAAACATAAACATATTGTTATCAATTTTGTACCAGTGTCAATGGCCCATAGTTGCCGAGACAATTTCTTGATCTTCATTGTTGTATGGTTGGAGTAATGTTGCTAAATGTTCAGCAAATAATTCTGATTTTTCTTTATATTGAGTTGTTATCAACAGGTCCTCGTAGACACTTCGTCTCAGGACCATTTTACTCATGTACTCACGCCGCCATGTTACCTATCCAACGGTAACTTCACAAATTGTAACTATTAATGTAAAACAACTACAAATTTAAAACATTTAAAGGGTTTTGACCCATATATTTTGGTGGCTACTAGCATGTACAACCGTTTGCACTGATGATGGATTTATCAATCCGAAAACGTTTTGCAATGTGTTTGTGATAGCCCGTTTGGGGCATTTTTTTATATACCTTTTATAAAGGATTTTAAACAAATTTTTTGTGATATATGGTATACAGCCAGCTACAGGAACTTAGTTTCCTAGTGGAATTTTTCTTTATCGCTTCTTGTCCATTGGTTCTGTGTGTCTGTGGTTTTTCTTACTGGTGGCGATAATGCTTGAGGTTTTAAGGATGATTTAATTGGTTTCCATATTGAATGGTCGTATCTTTTAAGTTGTGTTACATATTTTTAGACTGACTCTTGCAATTTTTTGCAATCCATTCAAAAACATATTGCAATATTTGTAATAGACCATATGTCTGTGTGAAATGTGGAGGGCAGCACAGTACAAACAGCTGTAAAAAGAACAAGAATACACCAGTTACATGTGCTTTATATGGAGGAGATCACCCAGCTAACTATAAAGTATGCGAATATTATCGTAATTTAAATAGAAATAAAAATATAGCACAAACTACATATAATCATCACCAAAATATGTCGCAAGCACGTAACAGAAACTTTATACCCAATACAGTAAAATCAAATGTAAGCTATCCTAATGCAGCGAGTAATAGACAACCTTCTGCTGCTCCTTCAGCTAACCAAGATTCAAATCTTGCAACAGAACAGTATGGTAATAAACATGCTAAGTAAACTCGTATGCAAATAAAATTCTTTCTACGAATAGCTGAGTGGAACGCCAATGGTCTGCTGAATCATAAGGACGAGGTGATAATATTTCTAAAACAAAATTTTATAAATATATTATTAATAAGTGACACATTTTACAGACAAATCGTATTTTAAAATACTGTACCGTTTTTAAATAAAACGAGCGGTTCGAATTTATATAAATATATTTATTTATAACTTTACAGTTCGGTATTATCTTATCAACACATTGAAGAGGGCTTTGAAGAAAAACTTATAACAGGGGCTGCTTTTGTAGATCTGACAGCAGCCTATGACACAGTAAGGTACAAAACATTGCTCCGCAAATTATACGACACTCTCAATGACCACCATCTGGGAAAGGTCGTATATTCCTTACTGCAAAATAGACGTTTTTTCGTTATGCTGGAGGGTAAAATAAGTAGGTGGAGAGTTCAAAAAACGGCTTCCCACAGGGAAGTGTTTTAGCACCAATGCTCTTCAATATACACACAAACGACCAACCTACTCCGACCGAAACCAAGCACTTCCTCTATGCTGACGATCTTGTAATATGTGCTCAAGGAAATAGTTTTGAAGAAGTGGAGGAGAAACTCGAAACTGTCTTAAAAACAATGACAGCGTACTACCTGCAGAATTCTCTGAGACCCAATCCCTCTAAAACCCAAGTCTGCGCTTTCCACCTTCGCACAAAGGAAGCCAAGCGAAAACTCCTAATTGTGTGGAATAGTAATGCATTAGAACACACAAACCAACCTATATATCTTGGAGTAACTCTGGACCGCTCCCTCACCTACAGACAACATTGCATAAAAGCAAGAGGGAAAGTAACAACTAGGAACAGCATACTCAGAAAGCTAACGGGAAGTAAATGGGTGCACGTCCTGGCGTTTTAGGAACAACGGCACAGGCACTGTGTTTCTCAACTGCTGAATATGCGTGCCCCGTTTGGAGCAGATCTGCCCACTCCAAACAAGTTGATACTGCGCTAAATGAGACATGCAGGATAGTAACGGGGTGCATGAAATCAACGCCACTTTCAAATCTATATAGAGCAGCGGGTTTTGCAGAACCCTCAACACGCAGAGGCGCTGCAAAACACATAGAGAAAATTAAACAGATCGCGGATGATCGGCATGCCCTATACAAAGCTCGAACACCACAAAAGCGACTAAAATCTAGGAAAAGCTTCCTTGGAGCAGTGCACGATGAACCGGCTGAGTATTTTCCACTTCCCCAGGTTCAATGGACCGGCCAGACCCTAGACTTTAAAACGTGGAAAACCTTGAATAGGATAAGAACGGGGGTTGCTACAGTAAAATCAAACATGGCAAAATGGGGAAAATAGACCAAGATGATGTGAACTGTGACTGTGGACAAACACAGAATATGGAACATCTTCTTACATGCAGAAACTGTCCTCATCGATGTACCCTTGAACATTTGTGGCTCGCCAACAAGATGGAACCGACGTAGCCCGATACTGGGCCGAAATTTTATGAATGACATGTTCGGACACGATAAAGTAAAGTAAGTCTGTAAAAACGTGTTTTGAAAATTAATAGGTAATTTGTAAAATTAATTAACGAAATATATGAATCTACGATTTGATTGTGTGTATTACAAACAAAATAAATATTGCTACAAAACATAAATTAAATATAAAAGGCCGGCAAAATGTAAAGAATTTGACCATAAAGGAAAAGCGGGTCAAACTTGAGACTTGTGATTTTTCTTTTGTAGTATTGTAATTATCTGTAGTATTTTGATTTAGAGTTTGTATTTTAAAATACATTTTACATCTAAAAAAAGTAATTTTACATCTTCGCTAACATTTACATATTTTGCAGCTTCTATTACGTTTTTTAAACAATTTTTTTGTTATTTTTAATGTGTCGCCATTATAACCACGAAAAATATGTTCCAGTTCACTACATACATCCAAAGTAACTTTTTTAAAGACCTATCAAAAATAAAGTATTACTTCAAGTTCTATTAAAATGGGCATTAGTATATATTATTCTGTATAGAAACATTTACTCTGCTGTTATAATATTGATATATTAATTCTCTGCTGTTATTAATATAAATTCTTTTTATTTATATAACTAGAATTGCATCAAATGAATTTAATTTTAAAGTTTAACTTGCTGTCATTAATTTTGTCAATTTGGCATTTTGACAACTTGTCTCGGGCTTACGTCACACGAACATGCGCGTTGACTTATCTTGTTTTGTTATAGTATCATGGAGTTTTACCAATGACGTATACTTCATCTAATTTAGATAACGACTTACGTCATTATCTACGTCAGAGATCTTAGTTGACATAGTTGCCGAAGTATAAAAAAATCCTGACTCCATTTTAAATTAAATAGATTACATAATTATTGCAAAAGTATTACCATCTCTTTACAACGACTATTTAAATTCTTACGTGACATTTTTAAAATAAAACACACTAATTTTGTTCTAAAAAGAACAGATTTTATTAAATAGTTAAAAATATAAAACAAGAGATATTCACTTTAAAATTCAAAATAATGAAGTACAAAAAGTGTCAACACCGCAACTGTCAAATAAGTGTTACCAATTTATGCCAAAATTTTAGCTTTGTTCGATTACAGTTACAGTGTGTTCCGAACAAATGTTCTTGATAAAAACGCTTTATAATGCATTTATACAAATTAGATGAAACATATTATTGTGTATTTCTTTAAGTTAACATTAATAGAAAATTTTAAATATTATTTCTACGCGTATATAATAAAATATGTCTAGTGGCTGTAATGCCAATGTACTCGGTAAAGTGATTCTAAAAAAGAACACACCTACACCCTAAATATTTTGTGTTGGTATCATGTGACGTCACAGGCTATGACGCCGATGACGTGCATCGTTATATAAATTAGATGAAGTGTATAATATATAGACTCGGTGAACGCTTTAAAAAGTGTCCAAAACATGAATACCTTTGTTATTGTTTATTGTTTTGATACGAAGATGCACGAAGTTCATGATTTCTTAACGAAGCATCACGAAGTTGATCTTGTGTTTGAAAACATCATGGACGTATGAAAACATTTTCTCCATTGTGTGTGACAAGCAAATTTTATTTTAAATTGTTGAAGTCATTTACTTACTATTTTAGTAAAATGCCATACTATTTTATCAAAATAATTATTTCTCTTATAGACGGGAACAAATAGAAATCATAAATATTTAATTTTAATTAAAAAAATAATTATTGTTATTAACATATAAATGAGCACGTCGCTGTTCTGATAAACATACCTTCAACCTTGAGCCGAGATCACACACTTCATTGTTGCGTTGGTTTTCTCTGTCTTTGGTATGGTACTTCTTTTGTTTTGGGGTTTTGGCATCCTGTTATAGGCTCTTGCCTCTTCAGGATGTGGTTCTTGTTTGTTGGTGTTGGCTTCTGGTTCTTTGCTTCGTGGTCCACTGGTGGGTGCAGCCAGGGCAATCAGAGGAGAAAGGTAGTGGTCGGTTCTTTTCAGAATTGTTTTCTAAAAAATAATATTAGTGGTAGTTAGTGAATGTTAAATTAATATATGTACAGAATGCAATATTAATATATGTATAAATACATGCATTAATATGTTAAATAGTAAATGTGTTAAATGTGTTAACGCGACGCGTGAGGGCAGCTGCGGCTGTATCCTCAAAATAGACAGGTATCATTTGCAAATGGGATCGGGAAACCGCAGAAAACCGATCCCCCCCTGTCTAGGCAAGCTCGAAGTGAGCAATTTAGCTTGGAATGCGACGAAAATAGAGGGGAGTTGCCTCCTGTATGTCAATGTATTCATCAGGGAGTTCGTTACTGGCGAGTTCCAGTAGAATTGCGGGTAGGTGTGGGATTTTGGGTTTAGGATGTCTGGTGAATACATTGCCGCGGGAAGAGCAGACAGTTTTTAGGATGCGTTGAGCTCTGAGGTTTTGGCTCCGGATGGTGCGTGTAGTATAACTTCTGCTCAGAGAGTGTAGTCTCTCATTTAGGGGCTGGATATTAGATAGTTGATGAATGAGGGCTGAAGGGTAGTCGTTGCGTCTGCCATTCACTCTACGCAGAATCCTCCGCTCTAGGCTTAATAGGTTTTCTTTGACTGGTTTTGATAATGTAGCATAAATATTTGATCGGTATTCAAAAATAGGTCTAATAAAAGTTTTATAGGTGAAAATTAATGTTCTAGAGTGCGTGGCCCCGAAATTACATCTCAAACTATTGAGGAGACTCAATCTGCTCCTAGCCTTGGCACAGGCTGAGCTCAAATCGGCCCTCCAGTTCAAAGTTCGTGTGAACTTCACACCGAGGTATTCGATTTGATCACGGAGTTGGAGTTGATCTCCCCATAGCGTGAGATAGTTTCTTTCGTTAAAGGAGGCCGCGCGTACGCTGTGGTTAGGGTGTCTGAAAAGAATCATTTGAGTTTTGTTCGGATTCAGGGACACTCTCCATCGCCTGCACCAGTTTTCGACTAGTCTAAGGTGATTTTGAGCATTCCTGAGAACAGAATCAACGTTCGTTGCTGTAGTTACCAGAGCAGTATCATCTGCGTAAAGTAGAGTGGTGGTTCTGTTACGTGTAGTATTGGGGAAGTCGCTGTTGTATATTATGTAAAGTATGGGGGCCAGTACGGAGCCTTGTGGTACTCCGGCTGTTGGAGTAAAGGAATCGGAGAAATGACCACGTTCCTTAACTCGGACCAGACGTTCAGAGACGTATGATTGGATTAGTCTGACGAAAGGAATTGGTAGACCAATGTTCAATAGTTTCTTGATCAGTCCCACATGCCAGACTTGATCGAAGGCTTTTTGAACATCGAGGAAAATACCTAATGCGAGTTTGCTGTCGTTCAGACTTTGAGTAATGTGTGTGACAATCTCAGTCAATGCCGTATTAGTAGAGCACCCTTCTCTAAAGCCGAATTGAAAAGA